ACTGCCCGCGCGCTGTACAACAGCTGCCAGTTGGACTGTACATTCAAAAGTTGTCGCTTCTTGTGGGCACTGAGCCGGTTTCTGATTGCAAGCGACTGGCGGCTCAAACGGCTCCAGGTCCGCTCAGAAGCCCCCCTGCGATGACCTCAATGCCGCAACGTGGACAGCCATCTGCCTTAAAGCGAAGGAAGGCTGCCGAGACATCCACCACTCAAGCAGCTCTGTCCGAGACGAATTGCTTTGCGGATAAGGAAAGTCTGCAAAAATGCCAGTCTTGTTGGCGTATGCATGCAGGTGCTCACGAGCCAACGCAGCCTCGCCCTGCAAAGGGGCTGCAGTATTCGTTTCAAACATGCGTGAATGAAAATGGGATTGTATACATGGCCGTGTTACATGCGGTTGGTTAAACCTTGAAGAACCAAATGCACTCAACGCACCCCGAAAAACGCATTCAGGCTTCTTTGGCTACTTGTCCCTCCGAGCCTCGGTAGACCAGAAATCAGAGATCGCATCCCGTGAAGAAGCTGCCAATGACTCCTGCCACGCCTGCTTGAAGGGCAAACTTTCAGCTGCTGCTTCATGAAGACCGCACACCTTGCGAGCATCGAGCACAAAGGCCAAATGGTGGTACGGGGTGCCAAACGCACGCCCACGCTTTGACAAAGCGTCTAACAAGGCCCTCTTTCGCTCCTCCACTGTGGCCTGTGACTCCTGCACATTGCGGTCAACAAAATCCCACTTTGCCTGAGCTTCTGTAATGGACTGCTCGCAGCGTAGCCAGGCGGACCTGGCCAAAAAGAAATCGGACATGCCAGCCACCCTGGTCAATGTAGCGCACGGTCCAGTGATGTGCAGCGCGCGGGTGGCCCGGTGGTAAATGGTGTCTGATGACCATGTCCTCAACGAAGACTCTTGCCTGTCTCGCTTTCTTGGGTTGGTCTGTTCCATGACATCCTTGAACTCTTTCGTTCCCACAAGCTTCCGGAGCAAAGGAACATTCAACAAGAAGGCGTCCAAGCTCTGCACTCTGCTGCAAAAACGTGTTCTGCGAACCAGTCGTAAGCCGCGGAAACGCGGCAGTTGGCCGCGCCTCACGGCCAACCGTTGCTGCTCCTTCACAAATGCCCGCCCGCGCTTTCGACGGTGGATGACTTTCTGGGCCCTGTGCACCTTGTTCTGCACTTCCTGCAGGGTGTTGCTGCTCGAACAGGAAAAAATTGCCGAATGCGTTTTTTGGAGGTGTCAAAACGCATCTGGCCTCCATGTAAAGCTTTCACTTTCAAACACAGCGCTCCATTTCTCAAGCTACTGTCTCAGAGCAATCCGAATGGCTGGCATCCTTGCAGCCAACCAGCAAAACCCTACGGTGAGATGAACCCTAAGCTACTGTGCACCTACAAAAGCTGCCATCTCAAAACACCTATACGCGCCAACGTCCCAACGTTCAACGCTGCTTGGTGCACTTTGACTTGGCAGTCGTTTGGGAGCCGGAAGCAGACTTGCGCTTCCTACTGCTCCCAGAGGATGGGGCCACGCACTCAGTTGGTACACAAACCTGGTGACACTTCACGTTCTGCACCTTCAGATAAAGCTGCACGTCCTGCTCTTTCACCGTCTTGCGGCGTGCGTGGCCCGCAAGCAAGCTTGCAGCCACCATGGTCTGCATTCCCAAGGCTTCAGTTGCCTCCTGAACGATGGCCAAAGCATGGCTGCTCACACGATAGTCGGGGACATCTCCGTCCTCTGATCCCGGTCCCAAGCAATTACGCTTCTCTGAAACGATCTGGTTCACGACATCTTTCACCAGGCGCCCAAAAGGCTTGCGCGCAATCACAGGCTTGGAGAGGTCCGATTGCAAAAGGCGGACTTGGTCTTCAACCTCGCAAGCCACAATGCCCAATGCGTCCAAACACCTCTAAAAAAC